AGGGACTGGCCTTGAAATTACGTTGTACAGTAAAGGTAGAGTAGTCTCTGATAAACCTAGTGGGTATGCAGAGACTAACTCTATCAAAAACAGATAAGAAACTAATTTTGCCTTTAAAAAAATCAACGAGGAAAAGCGCATACAAAAACCTCATCCTTAAATGCAACGATAAAAAATGTAATCTGACTAATATATCATCATAATTATAGGCACAGACGCCATTAAAAAATCTAGTGTAACATAGAGCTACAAATTTCCTTTGGATCCTTTCCAGTTTAAGGGAGTTAGTGTTAGTAACAGATTTCCAAACAACGGATGCATACTCAATTTTGGAACGGACTAAAGTACTGTGCAAAACCAAAAGGCTATCAACAGTGGAGAAGGAAGAAGTAATGTACTGAATCAAACCAAGCATTTTTATGCTTTGTGAAAATAAAGCTTACAGTCCAATAGAACACCGAGATCTTTAACACAATGAGAGCGTGCCACCAGGTTGTTACACAATTTGTAATTAAAGTAAATACTGAAGATTTCTGTCTTCTGTGTAGTCTGGTAGATGTTTGCCAACGTTTTAGAGGTCATACTGCCTCCGTCATCAGGGCGATCGTAAACATCGACAAATCTTCATACTCACCGCTGTGAAAACCTCAAATCTTACAAAGTAAATACTGTTTGTCTTTCGGGTGAATGACATAACAGTCGTTTTACTTAAATTAAGTTGCATCCCATTCAAAAGTAACCAATTTTGCACTGAATAATAATAATAATAATAATAATAATAATAACTAAACGTCTTCCACTAAATGCAATTATAGTTGTTGGTATTTCTTTTTAAACAATAATCATCGTTTTTTTGTTTATTCATTTTCTTTGCTGACTGTATTTTATTTTATCTTATTTTGTGGTATTAATTTTATAAGTTCGTTCTGTTTTGTTTTATTTAGTATTTTTATTTGAATTATTTACTTAGGTATATTTAGTTTATTACTGATTATTATTTTGTAATAAATTAACATTGATATTTATATATTTAGTTTATTGTTTGTTTGATTTTGTATTTGTAATGTTTTATTTTTATTATTATAGAAATTAATGTTATTATTGTATTATATTTCATCCTTTACTGTTGTTTAGTGCTTGACTGTTATTGGCCTTATCTGGCTGTTGTCAAACATTTAAATAAATTAATTGAATTGAATTATTATTATTATTTATTTAGTATAATATTTTATTTTGTATGTTGTTTGTCCAAAATTGAACTGATTTTAATTTAATTTTTAATTTACTTATCGATAACAATTAGCTCATTTACTTATTAATTATTTTGCAATAAATTAATATTGTACTTTATATATTCAGTTCATTGTTTGTTTGTTTTAGTATTGTAATATTTGTATTGTTGTTAGTGCTTGGCTGTTATTGGCCTTCTTGGCTGTTGTCAAGCACTTTAATAAATGAATTGAATTGAACTGAATTTCCATACGTTTTTTGGAAGTGGATATTTCACGATTATATATTTGTGTTATTAAATGTACAATAGATCTTCCTGTTCAAGCAGACCGAAATCGCCATACAAGAACAAGGAAATATTACCATACATGCACTAATACAAGCACTTATATTTGCCACACTTTTACCTACTCTCTATTCTATAGACATAAAAATTAGAGTTGATAAAACAAATAAGAATCACCAAGCCTGTGGAATTCACTGATAAGATAAAATGGTAAGCTTATTTTGAAATATAACTTTATAAAGTGATAAATTTTGTAAAGAAACTGGTAAGTTGTAATCACGATGGAATGCTCGTCACCGAAATATAAGTGAAAATACCTGTCTAGAGGTTGAAACATTTTAAAAGATGGCTGTTTTCTGGGTTGTTGAGCCGTACAGTACATCTGAAAATTCGGTAAACTTCTACCACGAACCCATTCTCATATTTGCAGTCCCAAGAACTTAAAATCTCACTTGGAGCAATTTCAATATGAAGGTTGGTACTCACTTCACCCCCTTCTAATTTAACTACATCATAATATGTTACAACATAACATAATATAATATACTTTCCCTCGCTGTAAAATTAATAGAAT